TATTACGGTATAACTATTTGTTAAATATCTTTTGAAAAATACAAAAAAAAATAAATATTTTCAATAATTTATCTATGAAAAAAAGAATGTAAAACTTGCACAAAATAAAAGTATATTTAAACCATATCTTAAAGATAACAGAAATTTAAACTCATTATACCCAAAATTCAAGATCAGGAATTTAATAAAAATATTTTTAGCAAACGGAACAAACAGGCCAGTCCAAAAGCGAAGAAAATCTTAAAACTATACATATATTTTGATTGCGTGCCGCGCGAGGAAAAGTCCTGGAGATTCGGAAACGCTCGCCAGGATTTATCGTGCGTCCATTACAAGCGGAAATTAAGCGCGGCAGGTCGCCAGCTGGACGAGGGGGGCGTGGCAGGGGGCAGGGGCAGAGGCAGAGGTGGGCGTGCGTGAAAGCGTTTTGCCGGCTGGCCATAAAGTAACGAGCGGGCCAAACATTCCAGCGGACCAAAGCAGAGCTATTGTTTTCGGGTCCTGCCAGAGTCCTTTGCAACCGCTTTGTATGCCAGTCACGTGGCACGCAACGACAACTTGGGATTTGTTAAGTGGCGCGTCGTTTTTGATGTGCGGAATGTTTAGCTCAGGTCCCCAACTCTCCGGGCATTCTTCCTCGTTTTTCCCTTTCTTTTTTTTCTGTTTTTGGTACGGAAAAGTCCATCACGTGTCCCGGACATTTTGCACATAACTTGTTTCAGCGTTTTTATTGCCAACTTCCGCTTCCGCTTTTAAATGCACTGCGAATGTCTTTTGTTTTTGCCCACCTTGCGGTTAATGGTCCTCCTTCGAGTGGAAAAAAAAGGACAAGGAACCAGTGCGGTAACCACTCCAGGAACTCCATCAGCCATGGCTGATTCGATTTTCCGATGTGTACCTTTGCTTTTAGTGATTGAAATCGCACATTTTAAGTGAAAAAGCGCACACAGAAGTGCACTCAATCATTCGTCACGTGATTCAGTCGGCGAGGAGTGAAGACCTCTTTCCCCTCCCTGACTTTTCCGGGTTTTCCCGCTTTTCCCCATTTTCGCTGTGCTCCTTGTGCAAATGTTTTTCTTAGTTGGACATCGAGTGGAAAGTGTTGGAGCGCCGCGGCTGTGTTGATATAAAAGATTACGCCACCAGATGAGAAATGGAGACACAATTGTTCATGTTGTTTATTGTTTTGGGGGTGTGGGAAAATGAAAAGCCCTGCGATAATGCCTCGAAAATGTTGTAAATGCGAAATCAATAGGGGAAAAACAGCTTTAAGCGGAGTGGAAATTCAATGCGAGAAAATGGCAGGGTAAACTTCAAGCGAAAAACTTTTCTAATTTGCGCATTATGAAAATTGGGTCGCCACATAAAAATCCACCAGTTCCCCCGTAAAAGAATTAAGTGAAAAGCAATTTTTGAGCCTAGTCAAAAGGGAGCGAATGAATGAAAAGAACTGAGAAAAACTTTTCCATTAAGAAAATTAACTGAGATTAAGTGGGGCCCTACGCTTTTGGCCCGGCCAAAACTTTACCCAATTGGGATGAATCAAAATTGCAACAATTTCAAGGCATTTAAACAGTTGTCACATACACATCCACCCACAAGACGCACAGGAAGTGAGCCTGAAAACGGAAGCAGCCCACAACACATGGAATTGGCTTAAGGAAGGAAGCGGCAGAGAAAGGAAGGGACTTTATTTGTTGCCTGCCACACTTCGGCTTCTTGTTTGTTGCCGCCACCGCCATCGCCAATGTCGTCCTCGTCCTCGTCGATACTAATCTAATTTTATTGATATTGACACAATTTCTGCAGATTTCCGCATAAACATAAAAACAGAGCTCGAACCCGAAGGTTCGGCTCAAGTAGCAAAACAGTCATGGCACGCAAACAAATGGTATCTAATAAAAATTGAACAAAAAGCAAACAAAAGTTCGATGATGCGGCCGCCATTGGATGGAAGTCAAACTATACTGAAGTACTCGGCGGCCATTTCCTGTAGCAAATCGAGAAGGCAAAAGAATATCAGTTCAGGCAATACAGTTTTTCAGCAACAATTTAAAATAAAGTTTGAACATGGTAAAATAAGCGTTCTACACATTGTTCGATCAAAATATTTATTGAAAAATCCATGATATTCTTGTTTTTAGCTGTAGTGCTGCAATTTTAATACACACAGAGGCGTTTTGAAAGTGAACAGCACAATTAATATAAAATCTTTTTATAAATCTAAATCCATATAGAAATTCCCAAGTTAAGATAACAGTAATTGTGGGTATCGCCCACTTAAAAATGTCCGCTGGAACTTGAAATTTCCCAATTCAAAGAATAAGTTGATAACAAAATCCAGATTTTCATTGATACGGACTTAAGCTTTCTAAAAGATTATACAAGTTCCGGTAAAGTAATCTAATATATTTTCAGGGAATTTCCAAAGTAAAACAAGAGAGAACGCTATAGTCGGGTGCCCCGACTATCAGATACCCGTTACTCAGGTAAAGGGAGTGCGAGGGAGATGGAGATAGAAACTTTGATCACGCATAACTTTTTAACGAATGGTCCGATTTGAAAAATTTCTTCTACATTTCGATAGGTATTGATAAACACAATAAAACTGAATTTTTACTTTTCCGAAATATTTAAATTTTTAAAATCGTATATAAGCGATAGTGGGCGTTAAAGGGGACGTGGCACCTTTTTGAAACAAACTTGCGCTGCGTAGGAACTCCTAAAATCTGCATGCAAAATGCCAATCTTCTAGCTTTTATAGTTTCCGAGATCTCAGCGTTCATACGGACAGACAGACAGACGGACAGACGGACATGGCTATATCGACTCGGCTAGTGACCCTGATCAAGAATATATATACTTTATAGGGTCGGAAACGCTTCCTTCTAGCTGTTACATACTTTTGCACGAATACAATATACCCTTTTACTCTACGAGTAACGGGTATAATTACGATTTGTATAGCCTTTAATTGACTGATAGAAAAAATAATCAGTATCAGCGACTATGTGCTAACCCGAATAAAGTTGATTGCAAAAACAAAACAGCGTTATTAAAAAAAAAACATTTTTCAGTACATATCTATTTAAAGACCCTTGGATTATATCTTTCTGCTTTAGTGACAATTATTGGTCCATCTAACGCACTGAAATATTAAAAAAATTTAAGTAGATAAAGACGACTTTTACTCCAAACAGGCATACGAACACAAAACAGTATAGACAGTACAATTTCAATCAACAATTAAAAAACTATGTCCTTCAAATGCTCAATATTGTCAGATTAAAAATACCAATTCCTCGGAATTAACATTAAGATAAACAAAATTTTGAATAATCTGATATTTTATTAAAACTTTTCTTTATCTCTCATCCGAATACAGAAGTTCCTACGGAAAACTTTAAGCAGAGATGCCAGAGTTGGTCTGGATCCAGTCCAAGTAGCTGGTCACCCGGGTGAAGGCGGCTGGGGCACCGATCTCGCACCCATCCTCCGCTCCAAAAGAGGTAATTCCAATGAGGATACCATCCAACGCCAAGGGACCACCAGAATCGCCCTGGCAGGTGGAGATGGCATTGGTGGTGGCGACGCAGATGACCCTGCTGGTGACCACCAAACTTCCGAATGTCTTCTGGCACACGGAGTTGTCAATAACGGTCAGGTCGGCGAACTGCAGGTTCTTGGTGACCGAGGTCTCCGTATCGGCGGTCATTCCCCAACCGGAGGCAACTGCGGTCTGGCCAACGTAGCTGGAGTAACTACTGGCGATGGCGGGCAGGGCGATCTTGTTGACGGAAGCGGAGAAGGATACGGATGGGGTCTTGATCAGGGAGATGTCGTTGCGAACGGTTTTCGAGTAGTAGTCAGCATGCTGTATCCAGTTGGAGCTAGCGACTTTCTGGGTGAACTGGGGGCTAGTTCGGACCGTAGCTCCATAGTAGATGGTCACATAGGAGGCACTGAAAAAGGATCCTCCTTAATAATCTATTCTATTCATTAAAACGAGGACAGCTTACCCGCTAGTGCAGTGGGCAGCGGTCAGCACCCAGGAATTGTCGATGATGGAACCACCGCACCACCAGCTACCCTTCAAGCCCAGGAAGCTGAGTCCAACTTGGTAGGGGAATTGATCGGCCACAGCGTTCTTTCCGTTGGTAATGCGACCACTGATGGACGCCGTCGACATCCTGTCACGAGGATGCACAGGCAGAGTCTGAGGCAGGAGACCAGCGGACACCGAGGCAATAGCCAGAACCAAAACTGCAAAGACCTTCATGGTGATCGTTGTGCTTTCAATGAATGTCTTTCCCTTGCTCATTGAGGTTGTTATATACCAACCTTAATCGGCTTATCATGAGTTAATGGGCGAATCCCCAAACGATTTCGATTTATGATCTTAATCCCTTGGTACTTCAGTGTTCTCATTAAGCCATTTTGTAAAAAACCCATGATAACTAAATTGTATTGCTCATAAATTACTGATATTTATTTTTTTCTTAAGGTAATTTATTCATCATTTAATATTAAATTACAATTTAACAAAAAACGGTGTAAAATCTTTAAAAGTTTGAAACCATAAACTTTGTATTATTCCCTTCCAATGTAACATTTTTTAAATGAGACTTATTAATTCAATCTCTTAATCATTAAATTGTTGCTTAGATACCTATAATTACTGCCTAAACATGATACAATTTTAACAGAGGTCTTATCACTAATCAATTTAACAGATAGGGATTTTCACCTACCTTATACTTGGACTATGTCAAAATTTACAACTTCAATAATAAATAAAGACCATTCCCAACAGCTACAGGAGATAAGACCAAATAAGACGGGTATAAAAAGCACAAGCTTGTGGGGGAAATCATTCATTGAAAGATCAACGATCAGCATGAAGGTTTTCATATTCTTGGCTCTGGCTTTTGCCTCCGTGTCCGCTGGACTCCTGCCGCAAACTCTGCCAGTGCGTCCTCGTGACAGGATTTCGACCCCGTCCATTACAGGTCGCATCACCAATGGCAGGAACGCTGTGGCGGATCAGTTCCCCTACCAGGTGGGACTCAGCTTCAGCGGCTCAGAGGGCAGTTGGTGGTGCGGTGGTTCCATCATCGATAACTCCTGGGTGTTGACGGCTGCCCACTGCACCAGCGGGTAAGTTCACTTTACTTTCCCCGGAGGATCTAGGTTAACAGGAGTATTTCTTATCCAGTGCCTCCATCGTGACCGTCTACTACGGTGCCACCGTCCGTACCAGCCCGAAATTCACCCAAACCGTCACCAGCTCGAACTGGATCCAGCACGCCAGCTATGTGTCGCTCACTCTCCGCAACGACATCTCCCTGATCAGGACCCCGTCCGTCACATTCTCGTCCTCCGTGAACAAGATCGCACTGCCCGCCATCGCCAGCAGCTACTCCACCTTCGTCGGACAAGTGGCCGTCGCCTCCGGATGGGGCCTGACCTCCGATACCTCCTCTTCGGTGGCCCGGGATCTGCAGTTCGCCGATCTCACGGTCATCGCCAACTCCGTGTGCCAGGAGGCCTATGGCAGCTTGGTGGTCACCAGCCGAGTGATTTGCGTGGACGGTGTCAATCGCACCTCCATCTGCAGCGGAGATTCCGGCGGCCCATTGGCTTTGGACAACGTTCTGATTGGTGTTACCTCCTTCGGATCCAAAGATGGCTGCGAAATTGGAGCCCCAGCTGGATTCACCCGCGTCACCAGCTACTTGGACTGGATTAAGACCAACTCCGGTGTTTCCGCCTAAGTTTGTTTCTGAAAATTGTACAGGCTTATAAGCCGCGAGTCAATAAATTAAAAGCATTTACTAAATGAACATGAACATTTTATGTTTGCATTTTTTTAGAGAATAACAAATACATAATCGTATACATGAGTAAACATTATTATCAGTCGAGAATTGGATGGCTTTATTATAATAATGCTAAAAAGAGGTTCAGAATAATTAGTTTCTGGAAAAGGGTGATTATAAAAGAAAGGTTACGCATTATATTTTAAATGATTTTAATGCCTTTAGTGCCAAACTTTTTGGCCTAAAATCAAATTTGATTGTTTAAATAAAATTTTTTTCAAAATTGGCATGGTATGCCAGACACTTCGTTAAAGACATTTGTTTGTTAGGAATCGATCTATTCAAAACGTACTCTAAGCAGACACCGAAATCAATCCCATATAGGTACGTCATTTTTGTCGAGGTCCCAAGAAGAAAACGTTAGTCCAATCGGCCTTTTAATGGAAAACGAGAAAGTTTAACTGGAGTTCTCATTAGGAAGATATCGCTGTTCAATGTGCTGAGGTTTAGCTGTCGTGTTGCTTAAAATTCAAAGTAGTGGCAGTGGCACTGATCCACATACCTTGCAAGAGTTAGAAGGATAGTAATAAGAAACCGTAGTGGATACTCACTTCCCACTGTCACAACCCAGGTATTAGCGATTATGCATGCAACGGATAGAACCAAGACAAGAAAAAACCCCCATGCTGATCAATTTTTTCGATACTTATCAATTGAAGAGGGTTATTGTGTTCTTATCAATATTAACTAATGGGCAAATCCCTTCACAATTTAACTGATTATAAATTATGGCTAAGTCAGTGATTATCTAAGTATTGCTTTGACAAATTTTGTTTGTGGAAATTTAGGCTTTTTTTCAAATATTTCATTTTATATATTTTGTTCTACATTCCATAATATACATATAACTAAACACAATCGATAAAAAAAAGATAAAATCAATGTTGCTCATGTTGCTTATGTGTTTAAAGTAATACAAAAATATTTCAATTCGGGATTGTACTTAAATATACTTAAAAAAATAATATTCACAAAACTTTTCAGATCGTTTAGTTTTTATCTTTAGGAGCTAGGATTAGAAAAAAAATTAAATTGTTTCCAGAAAAAACATATTTGAAACGACTAATTTGAATTTCATTTTGAAACTTGGGCAATATTTTGTTAGATATACTTACAATTTATGAAAAAAAAATCTATTTTTGGGCTAACGGAACGGACAGTTTTCCCTCTAATAAATGTAATGGTTCGTTTTTCAGCAAATATAAAATACACTTATTATACCCTTGCAGAGAGTATTATAATTTCAGTCAAAAGTTTGCAACGCAGTGAAGGAGACATTTCCGACCCAATAAAGTATATATATTCTTGATCAGCATCACCAGGAGAGTCGATCTAGCCATGTCCGTCTGTCCGTCCGTCTGTCCGTCCGTCTGTCCGTCCGTCTGTCCGTCCGTCTGTCAGTCCGTCTGTCCGTCTGTCCGTCTTTCCGTCCGTCCGTCCGTTTCTACGCAAACTAGTCCCTCAGTTATAAAGCTATTTGCTTGAAACTTTCCCAAAAGTTGTATTTCTATTGCAGGTAGTATATAAGCCGGAACGAGCCGGATCGGGCGACTATATCATATAGCTGCCATATAACTGAACGATCGGAAAAGCCATAACTTTGGTGTTTTTAAAGTTAGGAAGTTGGGATTTTTTATAAGTATTAAGAATGCATCATATGAATAATTTTGGTGAATATAATTTACAGAGTATTCTGCAAGGGTATATCAACTTCGGCTCCGCCCGAAGTTAGCTTTCCTTTCTTGTTATAAGAAAATTACTTCCTAAAAATGGGCGAAATAATTTTAGGTAAGTTATATTCCATCATAAAGAACTTAACAAAATTTTGTTGCAATGTTATGTTAATGACTTACATTGATTTGTAAACCTAAAAATCGAAAGAAGTTACCCTAATGCATTCTATAACTCTTATGCTACAAAATTAGATTATTTTAAAACCAATAGGAATAATTCAATTTTGGAGGAAAAGGCGTAGGTATTATCTATTCATTGTAAGGTGGTCACAAACGCTTTTGGATTTTCCCCTTTAAAATTTCTAGAAATTCTATCGGAGCGTTTGGGTGGGGATTTGCCCACCGATCTTCCAGATAAGACCCTTCAGGACGGGTATATAACGGACTCGTTTAGTATAGGAAATCATTCATTAAACGATCAACCATCAGTATGAAGGTCTTCGTAGTCTTGCTCCTGGCCATCGCCTCCGCCTCCGCCGGGCTCCTGCCCAAGATCGCTCCGGTTCATCCTCGTGACAGGACCTCGGTGGCTTCCATTAATGGTCGCATCACCAATGGCAAGAACGCTGTGGTGGATCAGTTCCCCTACCAGGTGGGACTCAGCTTCGTCGGATCGAAGGGCAGTTGGTGGTGCGGTGGTTCCATCATCGATAACTCCTGGGTGTTGACGGCTGCCCACTGCACCAGCGGGTAAGTTGACTGTACTAAGCCCCTAAGGATATGGATAAGAAGTGTTGTATCTTTCAGTGCCTCCTCCGTGACCATCTACTATGGAGCCACGGTCAGAACCAGCCCCCAGTTCACCTACACCGTCACCAGCTCCAACTGGATTCAGCATGCCAACTACGTTTCCCTTACTGTGCGCAACGACATCTCCCTGATCAAGACCCCATCCGTATCCTTCTCCGCTTCCGTCAACAAGATCGCCCTGCCCGCCATCGCCAGTAGTTACTCCAGCTACGTTGGACAGACGGCAGTTGCCTCCGGATGGGGCCTGACCTCCGACACCGCTTCCGCCGTGACCAAGGATCTGCAGTACACCGACCTTACCGTTATTGAGAACTCCGAGTGTCTCAAGGCCTTCAGCAGTCTGATTGTCACCAGCAGGGTCATTTGCGTTGCCACCCCGAAGGGCACATCGACCTGCCAGGGAGATTCTGGCGGCCCACTGGCTCTGGATGGAACCCTGATTGGCATCACTTCCTTTGGGTCGCCCGATGGCTGCGAGGTTGGCGAGCCAGCTGCCTTCACCCGTGTGACCAGCTACTTGGACTGGATCCTGGCCAACTCCGGAGTTTCGGCTTAGAAGATTACCAGTTCTGTTACTTTTTTGTAAAATAAAATGAGCACACCTTAAGCTTCTTCGTTATTGTTTAATAGAAACCAAAATAGTTAGATAGAAATCATTTATATGGCACGTCGCTCAACCATAGTGGATGGGCACGAGCGAGGCACTTAAAATGGGATATATCAGTAGACAAAGCTATAGAAAGCATCAAAGTCTTTTGGAATAAGATACACAATTATAGTGATTACTTAAATGATTAATACACAGTCAGACTGTAAAGATAAAGTAATAAAGAGATTATGATTGCTACTTTGATTAATTGGATTGTCTGCTATAAACACAAAGTGGAAGTTCGTAATGATTGATAAGCAAATACAAAAGTAAAATCTTATCAAACTTGAAATATATTACAAATGCGTCGAAATAAAAAAACTGATATTAATGTCTGCGAAATATAATCAAAACGGTTAAGTGGACTTGGCCAGCGTTCTATTAAGATAAGACCCAACGGGCCGGCTATAAAAGCGGTCTCATTCGTAAGGGAAAATCACTCCTAGTTTGATCAAGCATCAGCATGAAGGTATTCGTTGTTTTGGTTCTGGCCCTGGCCTCCGCCTCCGCTTCGCTCCTGCCCCAGTCCGGCATTGAGCATCCTCGTGACAGGACCGCCCTGCCCTCCATCGAAGGACGCATCACCAACGGCAAGGACGCCGTGGCCGACCAGTTCCCCTACCAGGTGGGACTCAGCTTCTCCAGCTCCAAGGGCAGCTGGTGGTGCGGTGGCTCCATCATTTCCAACAGCTGGGTGGTGACTGCTGCTCACTGCACAGATGGGTAAGTGGGCTTTGTTTTTTTTGTCAAATAATCGTGGCTAATAAGGGGATTCCGCTTTCCAGTGGCTCGTCCGTGACCGTCTACTTCGGAGCGACCGTCCGCACCAGCCCCAAGTTCACCCACACCATCGCCAGCTCCGAGTGGATCCAGCACGAGAGATACTTGTCCCTGACCGTCCGCAACGACATCTCCCTGATCAAGACCCCCACCGTGACCTTCTCGTCCGCCGTCAACAAGATCGCCCTGCCCGCCATCGCCGGCAGCTACTCCACCTACTCCGGACAGACCGCCGTTGCCTCCGGATGGGGCCTGACCTCCGACTCCGCCTCCGCCGTTTCCTCGAAGCTGCAGTACGTCGACCTCACCGTCATCGACAACGCCGTGTGCCAGAAGACCTTCGGCAGCCTGATCGTGACCAAGAACGTCATCTGCGTGGAGACCCCCAACGCCTCCTCCACCTGCCAGGGTGACTCCGGCGGCCCATTGGCTTTGGCTGGCACCCTCATCGGAATCACCTCCTTCGGATCCGCCGGCGGCTGCGAGATCGGCGCCCCTGCCGCCTTCACCCGTGTGACCAGCTACCTGGACTGGATCAAGACCAACTCCGGTGTCTAAGCTTTGGGAAATGAAAAAAAAAACTGCAAACTTTGAAAAAATATAAAATATTATAAAAAAATGTATCGCATTTTTAAAACATGGTTAGCAAAATGGGACTATAACTATAAACTTCTGGGGCTACTTAGAAGCTACATATAATTTTAGTTTTAAGCTTCCACATAAATAGACTTATTTAAACAATACATTAAATTAACTAGTTGCAAAGTAAGTTAAATAACTTAAATAAAATTAGTACTTGACTAAGTTACTTAAATATGTGAGTACTTATTTTACCCTTGGCCAACTCCAAACAAATAAATAAATACACTTTTAACTTATAATCTTACTGTAATGCAAGCTTTATGACCATTATAAAGTATTGGGCCTTGGTTTGTAATACTTTAAAACCAATAAGATCCGGAACACTATCAATGACCTTTTCATATGTTGAAATGCAAGTTGAGGCGTGCAGTAAATTAAACAAATAACAAATAAAGTGTTGATAAAGCGGGAGGCAGTCAATAAATATAAAGACCTCGACCCAGACATTATGGACAGCATTGGGGGCTAAGCAGAAACCATGGGATTGAAAGCCCGTCGACTCACTGAATGGGTCGAAAGCAATTAAGGCAACTGCAGTCGGCCAAAGGGAGTCGAAGGCCTAAGCAACATAATCGCCGAAACGTGCGGCAATTACACGGGAGCTTGAGGAATTGAATGCCAAACATCTGCTGCTCTTCCCGTCTCCGGAGGTATAATTTGCACTGGGCCAGGCAAATTCAATTAACAGACGAAGCGGACACGTGCCGGGCCAAAAGACGTTGACGCAATGATGCCACAATCGCTGGCTATAAAAACACCAGCTAAAACAACAACAACCTTAGTACTTCACATGAAGGGCCCACTCAGACCAGAAGTTGGATTGGTTCATTACAGCACCAGATATCAGCATTTAATTCACTGGTAAAATGACAAACCCGATTTCATTCATAAGTTTCATTCAACATACAATTCGATAATGTAAGCGGTACCCTCTTCACATGCCAAATCTAATTATTGTCATTATGGTAAAATAATTCATATATTAAATATTATAACGACACATCACCAGAATCTAAGCAATAACGGGGTAACCCCCATATTATTATACCCTTGCAGAGGGTATTATAATTTCAGTCAAAAGTTTGCAACGCAGTGAAGGAGACATTTCCGACCCTATAAAGTATATATATTCTTGATCAGCATCACCAGGAGAGTCGATCTAGCCATGTCCGTCTGTCCGTCTGTCCGTCCGTCTGTCCGTCCGTCTGTCCGTCCGTCTGTCCGTCTGTCCGTCCGTTTCTACGCAAACTAGTCCCTCAGTTTTAAAGCTATCTGCTTGAAACTTTCGCAAAACTTGTCTTTCTATTGCAGGTAGTATATAAGTCGGAACGAGCCGGATCGGGCGACTATATCATATAGCTGCCATATAACTGAACGATCGGAAAAGCCATAACTTTGGTGTTTTTAAAGATAAGAAGTTGGGACTCTCTATGGGTATTATATTTGGCCAATCAATCCGACGTACCAAATTTCATAAGGATCGGCCGACTATATCCTATAGCTGCCATATAACTGATTGATCGGAAATGCCATAACTTTGGTGTTTGTAAAGTTAGAAAGTTGGGATTTTCTATGGGTTTTATATTTGGCCAATCAATCCGACCTACCAAATTTCATAAGGATCGGCCGACTATATCCTATAGCTGCCATATAACTGAACGATTGGAAATGCCATAATTTTGGTGTTTGTAAAGTTAGAAAGTTAAGATTTTCTACAGGTTTTATATTTGGCCAATCAATCCGACCTACCAAATTTCATAAGGATCGGCCGACTATATCTTATAGCTGCCATATAACTGAACGATTGAAAATGCCATAACTTTGGTGTTTTTAAAGTTAGGAAGTTTGGATTTTTTATGAGTATTAAGAATTTTTTTTGTTCTTCAGGATTTGTTAATATTTAAATACTATGGAATTACGGTTTTCATTTTATTAAAATCGGATGACAGTATCATATAGCTCCCATAGGAACAATCGGAACAATTATATGAAATAAATGAGAAAAAAAATTATTACTTCGATGTTTAATAATTTAAATAAATATACTTCAAGATATAGTAAATCTTGAATATTTTAGATTTACGTTTTAATTTTTATTGAAATCGGACAATAATATCATATAGCTTTCATAGAAATGACCGAAAACTTGAGAGTAAAATCGACCTAGCTTCATTGTTATATCAGGCGATTCGAATACATCTTCCGTCAGTTCGTAACTATAACTTTGTCGTTTCCTAAAATATTTCCATATACTCCAAGATATAGTAAATTTTAGCAATCTCAGAATAATAGTTTTAATTTTATAAAAATTTTAAGACTATATCATATAGATGTCTTAGAATGATCATTAAATAACAGGCAAATCAACACAGCTTAAGCGTTTTGAAACATTTACTGACATTTTTGGAGAAATCATATGTTTTAAGATTGTATACAAATCATATAGATCTTGCAAATAAGATTGGCATACTGACATAATCTTTTCCTTTCAACATATTCCCAGATTTCAGATTCAGTTATTATTATTTTTTTTTATTTTAAATATACAAAACATCTGTCATCTATTTCACAAAGGTCTTTTTTTTATGTATTAAAGTTTGATACCCCACGACTGGTTAAGGGTTTCTCTGATAGTTTTATTTTATATTTATTTGTAACCCTACATACTAAAACTTTTACAAATATTGCCGAACACTATGCAGGTTATTACGCCCCTACAGAAAGTCACCTTAATTTACTTTTACATTTATGAATCAAGGGCAGGTATATACAACCCGATAGTTTGATTTCATATTGCAACCCAGTCTACCTAGACTTTTCCAATTCTTGATTTACATCATACAGGTCAAATGGTAAGGTAACTGATTCACTAATGTACACGTACACAATCCTTTAATTGCATAATCAAAGTAGTTACCTGCACCTTTCTGCACTACGGGATTCTTCGTGAGAAAAAGGGTTGACCTTTGTGCTGTCAACAGGTAAAATACCAGCCTTTATATTGACACGTATGCCTAATCCATGGATTAGTCTGTAAATAACAGTCGCCGTATAACAACCTGTTTCTGTGAAGCCTATATTACTTGTATTGTGTACTTTTTGTTATTCAAAAGTGAAAAATTAAATTAAAAAGTGATTTAAAGTGATATCTCCTACAATTGATAATTGGTAAGTTTCCGTTAATTTGTTAAAACTGTCCGAATTTTCTGTCTCCCTTTGCTGTTTTAATACACATTATATTTTCCACAATTTTCCACAATTAAATAATAACAATTGCAGTATTTTGTCTATCTATCAGAAAATTATAAAATTATGTATGTATCAACCGTAAACCAAATACGGGGCATAGTACATAAATTTATCATTTTATCACAATTTCAAAATTCCCTGAATTTAAAATTTTTTAATAACAAACACGTATAATCCCTTTAAATTTTTATTTTTACGATTTTTTAAACAGCAAAAAAAAAAGAGAATGCCACGCGTATCTTCTTTATCTCAGGAACAACGCCGCCAAGCCGCACTGAGGCGCAGCCGAGCCCAATATCGTCAAAATGCACCGCAGATAAGGACCCGGAATGCCTTACAAATTGCCGAGACCCGCGCAAGTAATTTGGAACTAGCTGAGGACGCACGCACGCGAAATACGGCAGCACGCCTTGTCAGAAGGCGAAGTGATCGAGTTCGAGCTAGGGAACGCGCACTGAACACTGCTTATCGCGCTACCTGGAGGGCCGATGAAGAAAATCGCAGGCCAGAGCTGGAACAGGACGCTATAGCTCACGCTCAGGCCAGAGCTAACTCCGAGGAGCGCCGACGACAGCAGTCGCAAAATACTGCTAATCGCGCTACCTGGAGGGCCGATGAAGAAAATCGCAGGCCAGAGCGGGAACAGGACGCTATAGCTCACGCTCAGGCCAGAGCTAACTCCGAGGAGCGCCGACGACAGCAGTCGCAAAATACTGCTAATCGCGCTACCTGGAGGGCCGATGAAGAAAATCGCAGGCCAGAGCGGGAACAGGACGCTATAGCTCACGCTCAGGCCAGAGCTAACTCCGAGGAGCGCCGACGACAGCAGTCGCAAAATACTGCTAATCGCGCTACCTGGAGGGCCGAAGAAGAAAATCGCAGGCCAGAGCGGGAACAGGACGCTATAGCTCACGCTCAGGCCAGAGCTAACTCCGAGGAGCGCCGACGACAGCAGTCGCAAAATACTGCTAATCGCGCTACCTGGAGGGCCGATGAAGAAAATCGCAGGCCAGAGCGGGAACAGGACGCTATAGCTCACGCTCAGGCCAGAGCTAACTCCGAGGAGCGCCGACGACAGCAGTCGCAAAATACTGCTAATCGCGCTACCTGGAGGGCCGAAGAAGAAAATCGCAGGCCAGAGCGGGAACAGGACGCTATAGCTCACGCTCATGCCAGAGCTAACTCCGAGGAACGTCGACGACAGCAGGACCGAAACACTGCAGCGCACGCGTTAGCCAGGGCAAACTCCGAGGAGCGCCGACGACAGCAGTCGCAAAATACTGCTAATCGCGCTACCTGGAGGGCCGATGAAGAAAATCGCAGGCCAGAGCGGGAACAGGACGCTATAGCTCACGCTCAGGCCAGAGCTAACTCCGAGGAGCGCCGACGACAGCAGTCGCAAAATACTGCTAATCGCGCTACCTGGAGGGCCGATGAAGAAAATCGCAGGCCAGAGCGGGAACAGGACGCTATAGCTCACGCTCAGGCCAGGGCTAACTCCGAGGAGCGCCGACGACAGCAGTCGCAAAATACTGCCAATCGCGTTACCTGGATGGCGGATGAAGGGAATCGCAGACCAGAGTGAGAACAGGACGCTATAGCTCACGCTCTTGCTAGGGATTACTCCGAGTAATGTCGACGACAGCAGGACCGAAACACTGCAGCGCACGCGTTAGCCAGGGCAAACTCCGAGGAGCGCCGACGACAGCAGTCCCAAAATACTGCTCATC